ACGAAGGTGTTACAGAATCTATCCCTAGAAAAGGGACCGACTTATCAACTCCCAGAATTAGCTTTGGTTTCAAGCCAGACAGACATGAATCTGATGTGGACAGGGCATAGCTAAGATCTAGAGAGAAAGGGAAGAAAGAGGAAACCTCAGTCTGAACTGGCAGAGGACCTGTAATAGTTTCTGTTCCTGGCGTGACAGGTACCAGATGTCAATAACCTCTTTGCTCAAGCTCATTCAACCAATTACATAGTCACCTAATAGTAAGTCTACCCAACCTACATTTCCCCAGTTTACTTATGAGAACATCATGTAGGACTGTGCCTAAAGCTTTAGTGAAGCCCAGGTAAAGTCCACATTCCCTCATCCACTAAACCAGGTACCCTGTCAAAGAAAGAAATCAAGTTTGTTGGGCACAATTTGTTCTCAACAAATTGATCTTAGCTACTAGTGATTATTTCTGCCTCCTGTAGCTGTTGACAAACTGTGTTATAACAGTAAATTCACTCTGTTCAGGAAAAGGAGGTATACACCAACCTTGAAAAGCTTGGTGTTTTGTAGATCAATGCCAAAGTATCTATTTAGATGTAGGCAGATAACTAGCAATAATGGAAGATATTCAACGAGTCATGGTTGTTATTAGGCCAAATATATTAAAGAGGCTAAGGCATAAGGGATTAAAAACTGAATCATAGGTAGGAATCATAATAGCAGTTCCAAGCTTTAGTAGCTGTCCAGCAAAAGAAAGATTGGGAGCAGCTGTTTTGAGAACCATAGTTTCATGATCTAGTCCTTGAGGATTTGAAGAAGGAATGGATCCATTTTGATTTGCTGAAAGTTTCTGACAAGTCACAAATAGCATAAAGAGAAATCAGAGTTGCACATGTGTTGTGTTGATAGTAGTACAGGTACTAGCGAAGTGGTTCTCAACCTCATGAGACTCAAGGCACCCATTAGAAAATGCCAGTTCTTAGTTTTTCACTCATTTTTTACTACAGAAAAATACAAGAGAAATTATTTTATTACAAAGAGCTCAGAAAGCCCAAACAGGTCAGAACACTTTTAAGACTGTGGATTCTTATTTGAAATCTCTGGGTTTATCTTGTGAACCATGTTTATACACCTCAGAGTAACACTGTGTGGCATCCCATAGCATCCTTGAAAGGCAATCAAGAAACCCCATGGTATTGTGGAATGCTGGTTGAGAATCACTGATTTAATGGATGATTTTCTTCACTAGTCATGATAAATGCTGGTATACAAGAAAACTACAAGGGGAAAGAGAGTAAAGGTGAGTGCTCAGAATTTCTTTTGGACTTGCTGAGGCACACAGTGTGCCTGTAAATGAAGGGCAGCAAACAGTTAAGAGACTTTCCAGTTAAGGCTTCAGGAATTGTTCTCCTTGGTTCACAAAGATTGAAGTTATACTGGATTGGTCCAACCCAAGATTGCTACTAGGTGTGGTGTGTTGATAGCATTTTCTAATGGGTACCTTGAGTCTCATGAGGCTGAGAACCACTTCACTGGTACCTGTACTACTATCAACATACCACATTTGCAACTATGATTTCTCTTTATGCTATTTGTGACTTGTCAGAAACTTTCAGAAAACCAACCTATAAAATAGTTACCTGGCAATTTATCAATAGCAGAGTGGGGAGAGGCCTTCTAGCTGTTGTTTTATGAAGACATATATACTGTAAAAGAGAGATGTAGAAAGGCCAAAGAAATAGAAAAGGAGAAAATGCCAGACAAAAGAGGCAGAAGAGTTATGAACAGTCAAAACTACTACTGAGTAGTGAAAAAAATTGAGGTGGGGGGAGCTAAGTGCTAATTAGAAAGGATCTTGGAGCTATGAGTCAAAGAGACTGTCTTTTACTTTACTATTCCTGTTGTGTTTAGAGCAAGATACTGTTTTCAAATAACCAGGATTACACCTGGTTCCATCATCAATTTTTCCTCCTAATAAAAACAGCCTGCACCCTCCTGAATGTGGCTGATTTCTTGTCCACAATGCTTTCTTTTGGCTTTATAATGGGATACATAATTTCGACTGCTTTTTGCTGAAGAAGAAATTAAAGGAAAAAAAAATTACCTATGTAGACAACCAAAAGTCAGTTAGAGGGAAGCTAGTTATCCCAAAGTGGCATCAATTGCCAACCTCCAGTTTTTATAAGTGAATTTCAAAGGTCAGATCTCTTGTGGTGGGGAAGCAGGGGCATGGTCAGCAGAGAAAGAACAGTTCTGGGGAAAGCCATGAAAGCTACATGGCATCTGCCCCAGGCAAACCCAGGGGAGACTGTTGTCCATTTATAGCACACCAGATGTTTTCCCAAAGTGCAGGAAGAAACAAATCCTGTTCTGCAAAGTTCTCAGTGTACTGGTAGGCTTGATGTGCAACCAGGAATTGCCTCAGTAGTTGAGAAAATAGGCAAATAGGAGGGTTACAAAATGTCACATCACTGCTTGGCTGTTTTGCGTGCTTCCTAACACGAACATAACAGGGCCCATCTTACCAAAAATCTCTTTTCTCAGACTACTGCACCCTCGCCCATCACAATGCCTTACTTCCCTTACTATCCAACTACCCATTTCCTTATTTGGTGTGGCAGCCTCAGGCAAGCTAGTCTGCAAACACTTTCCACCAAACCCTATTATCAACCTCAATAGCTTAATTTTCCCTCCTAAGAGTACTTCCTCACTACCTTGGAGGGGAAATTTGTGGTGTGGGGACAACAGCAAGAGCAACACAGTATTTGAGGGCAGATATATTGCCATAGCAAGCTGAGGGACAAAAAAGGTAACATGGAATTTAGTACCCAACACAGATGCAACCAGTCCTCCAAACATGCCCTGAAACGTGCAGTATTTTACAAAGCTGAAAGACCACATCCTCTGCTCTTCCACTGGGCTTCCATATTTGTCAGGAAGGGGAGAATACACTTTAGGCGGTCTACAAACCTGGGAGGTTTTTCCTAAAATAGCCTTTCTGGTGGATTTTTCTGATACAGATTGATGTCTGTATTCTTCAAAACTCAAAACACAGTACTTTTTTTTTACAAGGAAGAATTGTAAAGAATTCTTCATTGGCATTTTTAGCCAACTCTTTTGTAAGCATTATATAATACATCAATGCTCGATTAACTAACCATTCAACATACATAGTTTTTTCTTCTGTCACCAATATGATCTGAGGATTAGGAGAACAAATGAGGAAATAATGGGAAAAATGTTAGGTCAAAACGACTTTTGGTGCAAAAGTGCTACTATGAGTCTACATTGCTAGGTACATATAGAGGACAGAGCAATATTTTGGGCTCACTTAATGAGCTAAATTCTTTTTCTCTTCCTTATGAAAATCTACCACTGATTATGATAGCAGTTTTGCACATTTAGGCTTTAAATCCGTTGTGAAATGGATAGAACACAGAAAGTCCTGCATGCTTTATACCAGTTTGATTTGGAACTGAATTAGCATTTATTTATTTTTTCTAAGTAATGCGATGTTTATTTAACAGATTGTTAAGTTATTTGTTAAGTACACACTGAATACTAAATTCATTGCAGTCTCTCTTTTACTCAGCAGGGCTGTATTTGGGCCTGATTCTCTGAGGCACCAAACACCTCAAATCCCATGTCATCACAACATGATAATAATGTTATTTTTCACACTTGTAGCTGACATACATAAATCCAAATATTGCTTTTTCAATAAGATGATGTTTCCTGAATACTAAGTGGAAATTTTCTAACAAATATAAGCTGAAAATAATATTCTAAAATTTTGCAAAAGTTCACTTTTGGATTCAGATCAAAATACTACAGCTGACCGGCTTTCATTAACTGTTTGCACAAAAATCCAAGATCATTAATTGAGATCCAAATTGTGTTTTACAGTTTGGGACCGTCTCTTCCAAATACAAGCTTTTAATATGAGATTAATGTAATAATAGTAGTAATAATCTAAAAATCAGTTAACTGCTATATTTTTGCATAGTCAAACTTTTTTTCTTTAAATGGTTGAAACACATTTACTCCCATGACTAAGATTTTATACAGAAAATATATGATCAAAGTTTCCAGTCTGACAGCTAATGTTCCTATGTCACAACTCCGGTTGACTTCAGTGGGAATTTCAGAGACATAAAGATAACAGGAACGGACACTGATTTACCACTCCCATTTAACAAAAATTTCTAATGGAAATGAAGACTCCCATCTTAAATGTCATTCTGAACGTATCCTGGAATAAGACTCAGTGTTTAAAACTAGTTTATAAGTTCTTCCAAAATGTATATTAATTACGCTTCATCTGATTTACCACGATTTGTAGAAATCCATTAGCAAATAAGATAAGATACATTTTAATTGAACAAATTCTAAAATATCCTAATAATGTGCAGTTCTTTTGAAATGTTTAAATGTAAAGTAAATTTACAATTTCAGGTTAATTTAATGCCAGAGAAGGTAATATAACTGATACTGAACATTCATAAAAAAAACCTAGGTAAAAATAAATACAAGTAAGTTACAAATTAAACCAGTTTTGAGGTTTCTGTGTCTATTATAACTTCAATGTAGTCCTCTACTGGGAAACCAAAGAAAGTATTATGAAAGTGCTATGCTTTCTCTCAGGTGATAGGTGTATAATATTCATATTACACTGGGGAAGAAAGGTTCATTGGGGAATACTCTAAAGTAAGTTAAACAAACAAACAAAAAATTAAAATTAAGAAGAAAAATGCTAAAAGCCATTGGTAAAATCATTACATCAAACTAATTTACATTTCAATGTGCCTCAGTTTATGTCACATTTTACCACAGGTAACAATTCTAAAATAGCTAAAAGTAGATAGATTTGATGTGACCTCAAATTACATACACAGCGTATCAAAAACGTCCATGTTTATCTCTGTCATACAATCACAGCTGTTAGTTTTTTAGTAGCAATTTGAACACTTTCCCTTGCTTTCAGACCCATCTTAACCTTCCTGAAGAGTCCACTAGTGCCCTCTCCGTCTTCTCTGGTTCTTATTTGGAGGTTTAAGTAGACTCTCTCTGTATTTAACATTTGTATGGAATAGTCGAACCATTTCATGGTCTTTGTTATCCAATACCCTGGGCAGAAAGAGAGAGGATTTCTGTGTCCTACGGGTTTTAAAGCCCCGTCTGGGTCGTCCTTTCCCATTGATAGAGACATACCAAAGCCTTTCAGCACTGGCTTTGCGTTTGTTGTTGGCTCCACTGGGCACAGTCCGGTATAGGCGAGATGCATAAGTGTTATAGCCCAATTCATGGATCCTTTCCACAAACTCACACTCTGCATTGTAAGTTTCCTGTAAAGTAAACACCATTGTCATTAGACTCAAAAAGACGATGCTGGCAAAATGCATTCATCCTAATGCAGGTAAAGGACATTAAGAAGTCTCAGTTGGATATTAAGCAAATAGCTGCTGTATATGGAATAGAACATATGTTTTTAGAAGGACCAGATATCACAAGAGGACTCTAGAATAGAAGAGTAACTTTTTATGTATCAGTTGTATCACTGCAATATCAGAAGAGTCTAGGGTCAAAAAAATGTTCACAAACTAACATGAAATGGAAAAGGACAATACTACTAGTTATAGTTATTTTGTAAACTGTTATATGTCTCTAGAGGTTTTCCATTTGTTTTACCCTTATGACTTCCTTGCTGCTACCTCATGTGACCTCCACATCTGTTGTTGCAGTCACCTATTTCCTCTTGTCTTCAATTTAGACTATACGGTATTTGAAAGAAACAACCTTTTTTTTTATGGGGCCTTAGTAGTTAATGTGTTGCTTCTAGCTGCTACTCCAATATACATTAATAATTATCATAATCTCATAGGTTTGAACCTGGGACTAGAAATAAAGAACTGTCCCTAGTTCACAGTGGGCACATCTACACATTCATTAATGCGCCTTTGCTAATGTGCATTCAGTTTAGTACCTCTAATATGAAGTACTAGATAAAAGCACAGTAGCTGTGCAAAGGTGAACATTTTTTGCGACATTTAATGTGCAGTAGGCTAATTCTACTGTACATTAGTACATTAGCATGGTTTTTGCCATGACATGCTAATGCGCAGTAGAACAGTACACTGCACATTAAGGTGTCTCATGTAGATGAGCCCAGTGCTGATTTGGGTGAGCTACCTAGCACTTCGGCTCAATTTCCCCATCCATAAAATGAGGGGAAAAATACTGTTTCTTAGAAATAATTTGAAAATTCATTAATGTCTGAACACCACTTTGAAGGTGAAAATAAATGTTGTTTGTTCAGCTTTGATGAAACTAACAGTTCTTTTGCATTTGTTTAAGATCAGGGAGGTGCAAGTCTTCAGACAAGGTCCTCTGAAACACCTGGATGCTCCTCTACTGTAAACAGTTCTATATACTGTTTATAGCAGGGGGCCACCTGTGCCCCTGCTCCATCACTGATATGCTTCTCATCTTAGTATACGCTCCTGACATCACTAGAAGCTACTCCCTTCAGGGGTACTTATTTTAATATACCATGCCGAAATGTGTCCCTTTTGCCTGATTCTCAACTAAAAGAAAAAAATAGAATATGAGGAATCCTTGAAGTGAACAGTAGCATTCAGTGTTAGAGTTTTAGTTCTTTACAATCCAGACCAAATTTACTGGATTTACAAGGATACTAAAGGTATTCTTCACATTGCACATAGCTACAAATGTAAGTCTTTTCATTTCTTTGTCATCTCACAAGTTAAACAGGCAATATATGCAAAGCATTAAAACAAAAAAGAAGCTACAGAAGGGTCTTGGTTGGTGTCTTCTCTAAGATGTCTTCTCTTGAGGAACAACTGTCTAGTAATTAGGCCAGTAGCTTAGGGCCTTGGACAGGTAGGTTCAGTTCCTTGTTCCATCATATTCTCTTGGTTGAAATCCTGCCCATGTCTCTAAAGACCTGATTATTAAAGATATGCAGGCACTTAAAAATGCTAATAAGGTGCTTTGACAGTTCAGTCTATACCATTTCCACATTTAAAGAGTAGAAATTATCTTGCTGCCCTATCTCACAGGTATAAACACAGAGGGTAAAGACATTAAAAACTGTGGAGTTCTCAGAAACCATGGTGATGAAGGGCATACAAGTACCATAGATTTTTCTTCTTCCACCTCTGTTCCTGCTCCTAGGGGGTAGATTTTCATGTGCTCATGAGACCACAGCAGAATTCCATAAAGACATGCATGACTGGCATGGCTATTCTAAAGAAACACTCTAGAATTCTGGTATCATTTAGCTATTCCAAAGCCAAAAAAATCAAACCAAAACAAAATCCTCCCCGGTTTGGAAACTCAAGTCTGGAAAAAACAAACAAACCCATATTTTATTCTAGAATACGTAATTATTTCAGGACAAAGCGATTTTTATTTTGGGATAGCGTGTTCCCAAAGGAACATGTATAGTGGAACAGTTATTTTAAAATAGCTGTTCCAGTCAGTTTCTTCTTGGAGAGAGAGAATATCCTTTCTTACTCTGAGTCCTTGTCTTTTACTTCCTTCATAGAAAGGGGAAGCTAAAAGGAAAGAGCTTTTCCCACACCGGTTGCCATCAAGAAGAGAAGTTGTGAAACTATCTGCTTGGCATGAGCGACTGGTGCCACCTTAGTCGGGGGTGGGGGGGGGGGGGCACAGGTCCCCCCAGCGGTCAATTGCATCACCCAGAAGGGGCTGCACCG